CACCTCCAGGGCAGGTCTGGAGCCCAGCGAGGGGTGAGGGACCAGCAGCAATGAATTGGGTGTCCAAGGGGAGGCAGGGCAAGCCAGGCTATGGCTCTGGGAGAGATGCGTGGCTTTCAAAGATCCTTGGAGCCAAATGGGAGCCAAACTTCGAGGTCCCTCAGAGAAGAAAGTCCTCGATGGGATTAAAGAGTTTTGCTCTGCTAGGGATGACCCTCTGGAATGAAAAGCCCAGAAAATCGGGAAGGCCCTTGGAGGGGGGAGGTCTGCAATCCTTCCTTCCCCACAGCGCTCAGAGGGGGCTCTGCCCACTCCAGTTTGCAATGTCCTGGGCAACACCCTCTGTCCCCTCCCCGGGGAGGGCTCGGGAGCCTTTCCCAGCCTCGAGTGGGAGAGGTTTTCCAACCCCGAGCCCACATTTTCGGTATTGCTTAATTCCACCCCATTATTTCTAATGAAACACTTGGTGGAAGGAGTACAATTGCTCCCTAGCCTGGATTTTCATGTCTTAATGGTGCTTAATTATTCCAGGAGAAACTTTTATTTTTCCTTTTCCTCCACCTCGCTTCTGCACTGGATGCTTTCTCCTGGAGTTTAATTAGCACATTTCAGAATGGAATATTGAGATTAAATCACTGCTGGGCGAGCTCTGCTCCAGGATTGATGATCCTTGGGCACAGCTTTTATTGGAGCTGCCAGCTCAGACTATGGATTTATGGATCAAAGGGCTCTTTGGGCCGGGAGCGAGCCAGCGGTGCCGCAGCGGGCTGGGGACACGGGCCAGGCTGCTGGCCTTGGTTCCCTCCTGCAGCCACAGAAAGGGTGGACGAGGGTGCTGGGGGTGATGTGAGGGTGGGGAGGCCCTGACACAGAGCAGCTGTGGCTGTCTCAGCCCCGGCAGTGCCCAAGGCCAGGCTGGACGGGGCTGGAGCAGCCTGGGACAGTGGAAGGTGTCCCCAGGGCAGGGGTGGCACTGGATCCCTTTGAAGTCCCTCCCAAGCCAGAGCACTCTGGGATTCCTCCTGGGCACAAGGGACACTCTGCAGCCCCGCAGGCCCGAGGGGCAGCGCACACCCAGCCTGAGCTGGCACACCTGTGCCTCAGCCCACGGTCTGTGGGACCCAAGGGCTCATTGCAGCCTCTCCCAGAGCTGGGGCTGGCTGCAAACATCAGATGTAGGCACAGCTTTGGCACCAGGCCAGCCCCTTTCCTGCTGCCTCAAATGCCAGCGTTTTGATTCAAGCTCATCTGCAAATGCTAAAAAAGCTGCAGCTTTGCAACAGACTCCACCCTGGTGGAGCTCATTGAACGGAGACCTTGAGGGAGGGGGAAGCTCCCAAACCTTTAATTGTTTTATCTCACCCAGCTAAAGGCACAGACATGCAGTGACACCCACAGAGATCTTCTCCCAGAGAGATTCCAAACACTTGTGGTTCCCTTGGGGCCAGGGAACGCTCTGTGGACAGGAATTTTTGCTCCCAGCCTTGCAGGAAGGCTCCTCATCCCAGGAGCTCTTGCGAGGGGAGTTGTCCCAAAGAACTCCCAGCAATGCCCACGTGGGAGAGAGCAGCACCTCCTGTTCGTGCTGCTGGGCAGGCTGGCTTTCTGCTGGTCACTCAGAGCAGCTCTGGCACAGAGTGGAGCAGAAGAGGGTGAGGTTTCACCCTTCAGAGCCCACGGGGCTGAGCCGAGGCCTGCGAAGGGCAGAGCCCCGGCCCAGCCCCAAAGCCAGCAGGAATTTCAGCAGCCAGGCCTGGGGGGGCTCGGTGGGGTTTGTTTTGCTCTTCGAAAGATAGCCCTGTAATTTAGTGACTCATCCATTCTCTAGCCTTTGTTGCTTTTCATTTTCAACATCTTTAAGCTGTTTGTGGAGAATGTGCTTATTTTTAGACTTCCCATTAGGGAGAGACATCTGAGCTGAGGGAAGAGCTCCATTGAGGCTTTGGTGTCTGGGGTGTTAATGGGCAAATTTCATGCTGGGGAGAGATCCTTCCTTCCTTCCTTCCTTCCTTCCTTCCTTCCTTCCTTCCTTCCTTCCTTCCTCCCTTCCTTCCTTCCTTCCCTTCCCTTCCCTCCCTGCACTGGCAGCGGGCAGGGGTTTACAGGCTGGGCCCTGGGGGTCTCTCGGGGTGCACCGAGCTCTCAGCTCCTGGAGGAAGGAGGAGGAGGATGGATGCAGGGAGCACCAACAAATGTTGGGGCATCAGGAATAAACAGAGGCCTCAGGAGCTCAAATCATCCTTATCAAACCTGCAAATCTCTGTCCATGGCCCAGAAATTCTCTGTCCCATGGCACAGGCTGGCAGCAGGAAGGGCAAAGGGGGAGAGCAGCCCTCAGCCAAGAGCCAGCCTACATTTCTCTCCACTGCAGTGAATCATGAGGAGTATTTCTGCTTAATTCAGGTTTGTTTGTTTTTTCTTTTTAAAAGCAATGTTTTTATTTGAAAAAAAAATTTGAAAAGCTAATTTTTTTCCAGAAAATTGACAAAACAGAAGATGCTTTTTGAGTTAATGAATAGGTTTGGTATTGGGTTGGTTTGTGAAGTCTGACACCTCCTCATTTTGGTTTGCAGCTCCAAATTCTTGTGGGGAGCTTTAAAATGAAAGGAAATTTCAAAATGAAAATTGGCTCAGTAGCACTCCGACCCAGGCATCTGATCAGAAAAAAAAGAGAAAAAAAAAAAGCCCAATCCTGCCTGCTTCTTTTTTTTTTTATAATTTAATTAAGTCAATGGAGAACGGAAAGGCCTCAAATGAAAACCACACTGGCCCCAAATGTCTCCAAGGCTCCAGATGTGAATTCCTGCACCTTCTGCTGGCGAGCACATCCTGGCTGTCCTCCAGCACTCGGGCACAGCCCCTGCTCAGGAAGGAGAGCAGGACCCAGGGATGGTGTGGAAAAGGTCAGGAGATGGCTCCAGTCCATCCCTGGAATATGGGATCATCCAGACCTGAGCTCAGCTCTCCGGGCACATCCCATGGACTCTGCTTTGCCCCATGGAGCTATTTGGGGTTTGCCATCCTGTGCCACCCCCTGTCCCCACGTGTCCCTCGGTGCCCCAGCCCAGGCTCAGCCTCAGCCCGGCCCCAGAGGCAGTGCCAAGGCGCTGCCCCCCCCAGCCTGCTCCGGGCAGGGCTCCTTGGCCAGCTCCAGGGAGCCTTTCCAGGCCACCTTTGTAATTGCCCTCGGAGCCACAGTGCTAGCGGATGGCTGGAGGTGCTCCCCGGGTCCTGGCTGTCCCCTCCCTGGGCCCTGGCTGTCCCCTCCCCGGTGTCACCGGGAGAGAAGAGCAGGGCCCTCTGCTCTGTGTTCCCCAGAGGAGCTCTGCAGACTCCTGGCTGTGTTTTACCTCCTGACACAGACACAGGACCCAAAGCTGCTCAGCCATGAGCCAGAGCTCTCTGCTCTGCTGTCCCCACCCCACGGCCTCGTGGTGGCACCAAGGCCTCCCCTGGGGGAGCTGCCCCCACCTCGTGTTCCCAAGGTACTGCACCCTCTCTTTCCATTTCCTTAAATCATGGAATCAGAGAATCCCAGAATGGGTTGGGTGGGGTTGGAAGGACCTCAAAGCCCATCCAGTGCCACCCCTGCCATGGCAGGGACACCTCCTACTGTCCCAGGCTGCCCCAAGCCCCATCCAGCCTGGCCTTGGGCACTGCCAGGGATCCAGGGGCAGCCCCAGCTGCTCTGGGCACCCTGTGCCAGGGCCCTCACAGGGGAGAATTCCCTCCCAATATCCCATCCATCCCTCCCCTCTGGCTGTTAAAACCATTCCCTCTGTCCTGGCACTCCATGAGAAGCTCAAGGTTGGTTTTTTTGTTGCATCTAAAACTTTCCATGAACCACAGGGAAACCTCCAGCGGGGCTTTGGGGTGAACCCCAGCCCTGGGTGAAGGCCCTGATAGAGCAGGTGGGGAGCACAGCTGAAGCACAGAGAGCTGGATTCCCTGGGGAGATCAGGAACAGCCCCTGTGCAGGGAACACGGGGCAGGAGGGTCCATGTGCCCAGGCTGGAGGGGACAGTGACAATGGGATGGGTTTGTGCCATTATTTACCAGGCCAGCTGCCCCAGCTCCACCCAGCACCCCAAGCCATCAGCTGGGAGCACCTGTCCCAGGAGGGAGGCGATTCCCAGAGCCAGAGCAGGAGGGCTGGAGACAATCCGGCTGAGTTAATCACTGAGTGCTTGGGCCCAGAAATGCAGTGGCTTAAGAGAAAATCTCACTGTATTTTTTTAAATGAAAGCCTTTCTGCAGTAGATTCAACCCAGAAAAACCCTGCTCAGTCCGTGGATTGCAGTGCAGGTATGAGTCAAATACATGGTGAAAAGGAGATAAACACCGTGTCCTCCTGCATGGCCACAGGAGACAAATTCCCCATTTAGAAAGCCAATAAAAACTTATTTCTTTTAGAACAACTGCATTCATGGCACATTGTTTCTCTGAGAAAAATATGTTAGTGACTTTGAACTCCTCCAATGCCATCCAGAACATATTTTTTTTTCTCCAAAGTGTCTCAAAAGTAGCAAAAATTACGAAAGAATTAATGACTGTTAACAGCTGAAACAGATGGTCTGCTGTGAGTCCCCACAGCCTCATGCAACTGTGAGTCAAGCCATTTTTCAAAATGGTGAAGAAAGAAAAGTAATATAAAAAAAAAAAAAAATCCAAGGCTACCAGGCTTCCAAAATTCCACTCGGACTTCCCAGGCAGAGGCAGCAGGAAAGGAGGGGCTGGCTCAGTTGGGACCCACCTTTGGCTCCAGCCCGGAGTCCCTTTGCCCTCCCGGGAGATGCTCAGGGTTTGCCCGCGCTCAGCAGCGCCTGGGGCGGGTTCTGCTCCAGGGTCAGAGGCAGGACCCTCCCCGCCGAGACACTCTCCGCACCCGCGGTGTCCCCACGCCCACCCCGGGGGCAGGAGCGTCCCTCCCTCCATCCCTCCCTGCCTCCCTCCCTCCCTGCCAGCGCCGGGAAGGGACCGGAGAGCAGAAAAGCACTTGCCAGGAGGGGAACTCTGGTTGCCTGCTCCGCTGCGGCGGCTCCTCCTTCTCGCCGGGAGACTCATCCCCGCGGCCACCTTCATGCTTGGGCTGCCCCTCTGCCGGCTCCTGGATCAGCCCCATCAGGCAGACGAGTCGGCGGGGCCCGGGCGCTGGGCGAGCTCATCATGGGGCCGGGCGAGCCCGGAGCGCGACTCTGCGGGCGAGGAACGACACAAACTTCAGCGCACGCACGGCCAGGCTTTATCATTTATTCAAACCCCAGCTGTCAATAATTCATGCCGGGGAGCGAGACAAGAGCGGCAGGAGCGCGGCAGCGCCGGCACCGAGCGGCCACATCTGGAACAGATGTTCGGTTCCCAATACAAGCGGGGCTTGCGGGGAATGCGCGGTGCCTTGGGAACGGTGCCCTCCGGGGCACGACCCCGCTCCTCCGGGCCACCAGCCATGGGCTCCTGTGCTGGCAGGGCAGGGCTGGCACACAGCGCATGGAAGGGACGGGACTGTCCCCAGCTGCAGCCCGGGGCTGGGGGAGCTCAGACCCGCAGCTTCCAAAGGCGTTCTTTGGAAATGCTGGGCACATGCTGGAAAGGCTCCTACACACATCCACATGGGCTTCCGTGAGCCCCCGGCCAGGAGCCCGCTGCCACCGGGGCCAGCCGGGAGCGCCTCGCTCGGGGTCCCTGCAGCGGCCCCAGCTCTGTGCCAGGAGGTGGCACCGGGCAGGGCTGACCCCAGGGATGTGCCGGGACAAGAGGAGCACCTTTCATTGCCAGGTGTCACCCCCAGGGTGTCCCCTCAGCGAGTGTCACCTCTCCAGTTGTGACACACAAACCCTCCAAGCCCTCTGTGCCTCCTGCCCCTCCCCACAGGGCCCTGCGGCCACTGCCAGCCCAGGCCACAGCTCCCCTTCCCCTTCCATGGCCCAGCGTGGCCATGCCAGGGCCCCTGGTGGCTCGGACCTGGCTGGCCCCGTCCCCATTCCTTTAGGGACATCAGCCGTGAAGCAGGGAGTGATGGAACAATGCTCACAGGCACGTGCTGTGGTTTAGGGACTGTCCTGTGCGGGGCCAGAGCTGGACTTCACAATCCTTGTGGATCCTTGGCACTCGGGACATTCCATGAATCTCTGATCCTTCAGCCAGGCTCTCACAGTGCTCTGACAGACACTTGATTTATTTATTTATTGCTGGCCCCGGTGCTGCTGGGTGCCCTACACATGCCCCTCGTTATCCTTCCTGACACCGGCTCCGGGCTACCCGCGGTCCTGCCGGGCCCCGGGCCGCGCCCCGGCTGTCCCCTCCCTGCTGTCCCCTCCCTTCTGTCCCCTGCCCATCTGTCACTCGCCAGCTGGCCTCTCTCGCCCTTTTTGTGGAAGGTGAATTGAAAGCAATAATTTCTTTGCCTGCAATTGCACAACACCTCAAGCACCTGAGCTCTGACCCACCCCTCCAAGGTGTATTATTATTAATTATAATTATTTTAAATTATTATTATTATTATTACTACCAGCGCTGTTATCCCAGCCCTCTGAGGGCATCTTCTGGATATAGTGCTTATGTTTTGGGCTACCTCTTTTATCTCTGTGATTTGCAACACCTCCTCTGATATCTGAGCTCCATTCTTTGGGTAATACAAACTTGGAGATGACTTTCAGTGCAAATTTTCTCCCTGAAAATAAATTTTCTTCTTGCTCCTCTTCCTAAATGTGAACCTTGCACTTTACCCCGCCAGCCAACCACTTAATGCCAGTAAGAAATGGACATTCCTTTTCCCTAGATAATGACTGATCTTGCAGATTGGATAATGAAATAAGTAATGCCATTAGCAGCCTATTAATCAGTGGTGAGCAGTGAATAACACCGAGTGCAAGGCTGCTCCTGAAGGACAAGGGAAGGGGAACTGGGCAGAAATGGGGAAAACACCCAAAATCCAGTCCCCTACTCCCCATGTTTCTTTTTTACTGCCGAGTGGCTAACAATCAGTTCCTTGCCTGGGGGATCCGGCCTTGTGACAGCCTGTCCAGGTGAGGTGTCTGTGCTCAGGAGAGTCCCTGCACATCCTAAATCCTGCTGAATTCCACACTTGGCAGGAAGTCACTTCCTTCATTTCTGTCACTGCCTCGTGCAGGATGTGAAAAAAGAGGGAGGAATCCACGAGAGCCCTCCCCTGCAGTGCCATTAACGGTGGTGGTGGCAGAACACGGCCACAACTGCAGCAGGACCTGTCCCCATGCACAGGACCTGTCCCTCCTCAGCACCTGTCCCCACCCTCTGGACTGTCCCCATGCACAGGACCTGTCCCTCCTCAGCACCTGTCCCCACCCTCTGGACTGTCCCCATGCACAGGACCTGTCCCTCCTCAGCACCTGTCCCCACCCTCAGGACCTGTCCCATCCCTGGCTGTGCCTGAGCTGCATTCCCGGACCAGGGGCTCGCCACTGTCCTGCCGGCGGGTGAGAAACAGGCAATGCTGGAGCAGATGAGAAAAGAAATCTGAGCAGAGTCACCCCGGGGTGGGGGGAGCAGCTCCTCCTGGAGCGTGGCTGTCCCGTGCCTCTGGTTTCTGTCTCGCCGTGTTATCTCCACCCACAGAGAACGTGGCACCCCTGGGCCCTGGGTCTCCAATCCCCATCCAGACATGACTCTCCCAAGGTTCAGCTGCTCTGTGCAGTTGCTGACATCTCCCCTCCATCTTCCAATCCCCGGATCACTGAGCTTGGAAAAGATCTCCATGATGAAGTCCAAGCTGTGCCCCATCCCCACCTTGTCCCCAGCCCAGAGGTCTGAGTGCCACCTCCAGCCCTTCCTTGGGCACCTCCAGGGATGGGCACTCCAAACCTCTCTGGGCAGCCCCCAGCTGTCCCCTCCTGTCAGGAGTTGTGCAGAGCCACAAGGGTCCCCCTGAGCCTCCTTTTCTCCAGGCTGAGCCCCTTTCCAGCTCCCTCAGCTGCTCCTGGGGCTCCAGACCCTTCCCAGCTCCATTCCCTTCCCTGGACATGCTCCAGCCCCTCAGGGTCTTCCTTGGAGCAGCCCAGAACAGGACACAGGACTGGAGGTTCCTCATCCTCGAGGTGTGGCCTCAATCTTTATGCCAAGTGCCGTGGCAGGGATTTTAGGAAGAGTTCCTAAACTCTCAGGGTAAACACCACCCTGAACTGCTGAGAATCTTTCCTCAGGAGGGCTCACTCTGGGAGAGAGGAAGATCAGGAACAACAACCCTAAAAATAAAAATTATCAAAGAGAAGACTGAACGAGACCCTTTTTAACCCCCTCCCTAAGACACCTCCTCTGTCCTCACCTGCAGCCTGTCTCACAGCACCCCAGTGAGGCGGTGAACACCTCGGTGGCTGCCGTGTCCCTGAAAGAGTTAATTGGGGAGGCATTGTCCGCCCAGCCCCCTCGCTGGCCCGGCTCTGCGAGCTCCTGGCCCTGCGTTCCCTCTCCTCCTGTCGCTCTCTGCCAGGGGAAGGAGCCAGCGCCGGCGGTGACTCAGGAGCCGCGCTCATCCCAGCACATCCTGCCGCGGCACTCGGGTGACACTTGTCACCAAAATGTGCTGCTGGGGAGAGGCAGGAGAGCACAAACACGGGCACGGAGCAAAGGTGGGGCTCGTCCAAACCGGGGGTGACACCGCTTTCTTTTCTCTGATAATCAGTTCTGCTCAGAAGAGGAGAAACCCAGCTCCAAGGGAAAAGAAAGGTCCTCACATCACTTCTTCCATCAGGCTGACACCTCTTCATCTCGGGGAACTTAACATCTGTTACATAATTCAGGGAACATGTGGTTATTTTCCAGGCTTATTAATAGCCCAAACCCCACAGCTTAAATGGAAATGAGCAGCTGCTCCAGACTTCACCTCTGGAGAAGGGGCTGGGAGCAGGTACCGGGCGGGGCTGGCTGGGGCTCAGGGATCCCTCACACCGCAGCTTGGACTGATGCTGAGACAGCTGCATTCCCGCATTCCCACATTCCCCCAGTGCCTCTTTCCTTTCACATCTCATGTTTCTTTCCAGGAGAGGCAGAGGATGGTGGAGAGGGTCACAGATGTGAGAGAGGGTTGGGGAAGTGCAGAGAGGAGGGGAGGGAGACAATGGATTATTGTACCCTTCATCCCAAAGCACTTCCTTTCACAGGTCACTCAGTCACTTCCAAGATGTCCAACAGGGCTTGCAGGCACTTCCATGACAGGATTTAACCCTGAATGCCTGAGGTGCCCTCTCACTTGAGGAACAGGCTGAGGGAAGGCCCTTGGCACCTGGCCAGCAGGTGGGAAGGTTGTCTGTGGCTCTGTTGCTGTGGGGATGAAGGGCAGTTCTATGAGCACTCCTCTCCACCCCGGAATGGTGCCTTGGATGCTCCCTGCCGTTTCCAGGTGGAATTTGGGCTGGATAATAGGTAAAGGTGAGGCTGTAGCTGGGACACACAGGTAAAACAGCTGTGTACAGGATATTCCTGAGACACACAAGCACAGCTCACATCAGGAAAAGGGAGAGGCAAAGCCCTCAGCCACCTCCAGCCCATGCAGGGATACATTAATGGATCATACAAATGATCTCCTCGCTCTCTGATGGTCTTAGCAGAACGCGAAGTTCATCTTGATTCAGTCCCAAATCCCTCTGTGGCTTTAATCCAGCGCAGAAAACCCAAACCTGACAAACGGTGGGGGCTGGGGAGAACCTCCTCATTTCCTGGCAGGCAATAAAAGCCAGGAAGATCTGCTCAGAAGGGGCAAGGCCACTGAAGCCCAGCGGTGCCTGCAGGAGGGAGGAGGTGGCCCTGGTGCCCTGGGCAGCTCTGGGCACTCTGGGTGCAGCCACTGGAGTGGGAGGAGGGCACCTGTGCCCGAGGGTCGGGCAGGGACTGGCACAGCAGAGAGCAGCGCCAGAGCTTCAGCACTCCGAGCCCAGGAGCTGCTCCAGCTCCAGCTCCAGCTCCAGGAAATGCCTGAACATCCCCAGGGCAGGGCAGAGCTCACATATCTCATCCCAGGGGAAAACCAGGCAGGAAACTGGGGGTTCTCCGTGAGTATCAGTGATTCACACAGGGCGAAGCCCCCAAGGACAGGCTGGGAGCTGGGAGGTGACTCCAAGGCCAGGGAAAAGCCTTGGCTCGAGCCCTTCCTTCAGAAGGAGCAGGGAGCTGCCTCCAGGCACCACATCCCAGCTTCTGCCTCCCTGCTGCATCAAAGCTGAGC